ATTTTTTTTAAAACCGCTAAAATCTGAAAAAAATTGAAAATTTACGATTTTCACGAATTTTTTTCGGAGTCTAAATATATTTCGATAAATTTGATTTTTTTACCCAAGAATGTGAATGCCCTGATGTACATTTGATGAAATTTTGGTGCATTTTCATTGAAAAACGCGGGAGATATGAAATAAAACGTGAAAATACCCCAAAATTCCCCGAAAAATGGGTTTTTCGGGGCTGGAGGGGGGGTGGTTAGGGTCAGGAGGTTAAAATATCCCAAAACCATGTTTTTAGGACCTCCTGAAGGGGTTTAGACCATTAAATTCAAAATCCGTGAGGAGGGGCATTTTGGTGCCCTTATCCTGGGATACCCTTTACAAGAAGATAACATTTTTCATCTTTCCAATTTTACCATACAAAAATTCCTAATTTTTATAAGTTTCCACAAAGGAATTTTGAAACACATTTTAATCTTTCTTGCACTCTCCTTTATGTCCAGGGAAAAGACAGTTTTTCGTGTATTCATCATTATTCCACTCTTACCTGGTTTCGAGGGTGAAGTCGGGAGTCCATCTGCAACTGCGCTAAATGTGATAACTTATTGGAATTACTGCTCAATCTCCAGGTTTGTTCTCTCTTCAAGAATAAGGCAAAACTGCTATCTTTTCGTTTCTACTTTTTTTTAAAAATTTGTATCGTGCACTTACAAGATTACTGAATTACAGTAAGACCACAATTCATGATTTATCCAGTTTCATAGGACTGACGAATCGATCCGCTAAATTGTTGAATCGGTTAATTTTAATTAACTTGAAGCCCTTGAAAGGATTAAAACATCAATCCATTATAGGATGATTCATTATATTGTGATCCATTAAATTGCGATCCGATAAATTGAAGTCTCACTGTATTTGCAATTAAAGAAAAGATTCATCGCTTCTTAAATTTTGCCACTGATTCATTTACTTAGGAGACTCACAAATTTCCCAATTTCACTTTTCTTCACCTTGAAAATCATTTCGTAGAGGTTTATATTGTCATTTTGTAACTGCATGGGTTGTTGAATATAGATGCAAAAATCTAAGTTTTTCCCTCCTAGTTTCAATCTGTGGCAGCTGTATTTTAGTCAAGGTAAAAAAACAAATGAATAATTCTTTTTTCTACAATAACATTCATCGTTTGTTTGTTTTTTTTTTTCTTTTGCAGAGGGAATAACTCAATAATCAGTCGACTGAAAGCAGCTGGCATTGCTGATCCCTCAGAGTACATTACATTCCATGGATTAAGAAATCATTCAGTACTCAACGAAGATCTCGTAAGTTTCTACATTTTTCTTTATTATATCTTCATTAAAACTATTTTTGCTCTGGAATCTTAGAATTTGAAGGATTTAAGCAACTACAATAATGCAATTGACCCTTTGCGTTTTAATTTCAGGTAACGGAACTAATCTATGTACATTCAAAGCTATTAATAGCTGATGACGATACCGTTATCTGTGGCTCAGCAAACATTAATGATCGAAGTATGATGGGCAAGAGAGACTCAGAATTAGCGTTGGTCATTCAGGTAAGCTTTTCATGAGAAATAGATACCTTTCTCTCTCTTTTTTTACTGTGTTTCATTTCTTTTTAATAGTTTAATATTCCAATCTCAACCTAGTTTTTTATTTGATTTAGCTCTGACGTTTAGTACTATTTCTGAACGATCGTAATTGCATTTTCTTAGATTTCTTTAGAATTAATGACCGTATACTCTCCTCTCATTGACTTTGTTTTAATATTATTACATTAACTAAGCTTATAAGTTGAAATAAACTTATGAACTGAGAATTTTTTGTCTTATTAATTTTAAATATTAGAACTGAGTTTGAATAAATTCTAATCTTAATACAACTCAGCGTTACGTTGGATCAGTTTCTTTTTATTCAGCTTAAAATTCAGCAAATCCCAATCCAGCATCAATATGCATTTCACCAGAAAAAATTTAATTATCATACTTTGAGGTACTAGAGGAATATTTATTTCGAAGCATCTGAACTGAAAGATTACATTTAATACAGGTGGTATTGATGGCCAAAGTGCGAAACCGTGTATCTCCATTACAGTTTTTCAAAATTACCGCTCATATTTTATTTGTTTTTAGAGACTCCAACCAACTTTACAGTTTGAAATTTATACAGAATATTCTGCTGCTAGAAAAAATTAATCAAGGAAGTTTTCCATGACCAGTTTTTAAAAGAAAAAGTGAAGTATGACAGGAAGTCTGCAACGTCATAAATGGAGATACGTGTTTTCGCATTATGGTCATCAAAATAGATGTTTGATTTAAGCTCTATATGGTTACTCTTTGCTTCCTATTTTTTACATAGTGCCTTACCTAATTTTCTGTTTTTTGCTACTCAAAGGATGCTGAATTTAAAGAAGGGGTCATGAATGGCAAACCTACTCCGAGTGGTCGTTTCGCCGGCTCTCTGAGGAGGCGTCTATTCCGTGAGCACCTCGGCATTCTCGGAGGAAACTGCAGTGATTTAAGAGAGAAACAACTCATTGATGTCTCTGATCCAATCGCACATTCCTTCTATCATGATGTTTGGAGGAAATTTGCTGCGTCTAATACCACCATTTTCGAGGAGGTTAGTCAGTCAAGTGCGCCTGTTAATTCATTGTTGAGTGTAAAATATGTTGATCAGGACCTGAAAAAACCCGGAATTACTAGAAGTAGCAAAACATCTCATTAGAAACAGAATAATCAGAAAATTGGTGTCATAGATTTTTTCTCTACGTTTTGAGATCATTTTGTTTTTAAATTTGGCGATTGCATCAATGTGACACTGTAGATTTTGATATAAGATATGAAAACCAATTTTTCTCCTCTAAATCTGATCTGATATGATATGTTTTTTGTTGTTTTTCTTCTGTTCCGAGAATTTGGGGGAAGTGGGACAAAATTTAAGGGTTTTCATTGGGTTCAATTTAAGCTTCTCAAAATCAGTAATGAGACAATTCAAGAACTCCAGATCATTTGGTGAAAGAAATTAGAACAGGAGACAAACAATTGGACCGTGTCAAGCAGACTGCAGAAGGGAACCAAGCCACATCAGCTATCGCCAAATTTAATTGGGCAATTTGTAATTTTACATGGAAATGGTTTTTGTGCAGATTTCAGTGAATTTTCTGCATAGGGAGAGGCAAATTCCTTAAAGAGGTTGTTCCATCCCCCATTAGATTTGGCCCCCTATCAAATATGATCCATCTTTTCAGGGGTGATAGAGTAGCATGCGAGACGTTCAAATATGGCGGTCATTTTGACTTAGGCCCCTCCAGAGAGGGGGGGGCGGGGGGTCAAAGACAAAACCTTCAACTGCCTATAACTTTTGAGCGAAAAATCGGATTGAGTTGAACTTTTTTTTAAATGAAAGATCTCAAAAAGAGCTATCTGTTGATGCCAGAAAAATTGAAAAAAAGTTAAATTTAATGCAAATTTTTAGCAATTTTTCAATTTTTTAGGGGACAAAATTTTCAATTTTGTCGTGTTTTGGCACCGCGCAATGACTCTACTAAAACAAAAACCAGTTTTTTAGATTCTACACT